CTCGTTTCCCTCTCAGTCTTCTCCTGTCCCATACATATTATGATGAGAGCTAAGAAAGTACTGGTTCAGGCCTAGCTCACAGAAGGCACTTAATGATTACCTGTTGACCAGTTGACTGCTGAATTCACAGACCCTTTTTAAGAATTCTGAGTCTTGTGTTAAAATTTGAACTAGATTTAGATCATTTGTACTTCAGTATAAGTGTCAGACCCTTTCCCAAGGTAGGATGTAGGACAGAGCACAGAGCATGGTGAAAACTGGGGGAAATGAGCATGCAAACAAGAGGTGAGAGAGTCAGAGACCAGCTTCGTTTCTGCAGCTGTGATGGAGAAGCTCCATGGACCTCCATGGAATCAAGTTTCCTGCACATGCTTGGGAGCCATCCATTGATGCAAAGCAGCAGTGAATTTTTATTTTGAAAAACAATTTATAGAAAAAACTGTTGAGCAGAGAAAGAGTAAACTAGAACAGGCAGGTAAACTAGGATTTGTGTGATTTCCAAATGCTTATTAAACATGTTGCCAAAACTCCCAGAGTGTATAACAACCTGCTGGGGATTACAGCTGGGGATTAATTTAGATTTATATAGAATCTAAGCTTCCATATCAGCCCTGAGGTGCCAAAGAAATGGATTGTTAGGTAGAGCTTTAGGGCTAACCCGGGGACTTGGGCTTAATAAAGCATTTCAGAGGGGATCCGAGGCTTTGGGATGATCAGGTTCTAACTAATTCCTAATCCTTGTATACATTTGATTGCTTCCTCAGCACCATGACTCATATCACCAGGCACGCTGTGTGAAATGATTCCCCTGACCTCCTCCACAAACCCCCCAGCAAGTCATAAAGATTGTCCTATTGGAATTCAACTGAACATTGCACTTCAATGTTCTTATCTACAAAGTCTGCTGTAATAAATACTGGATATCATAGGACCTTGAGTCAATTTATCCTTATGTGTTCTCATTTTTATTATTGAAATTTAAAACTGTATTTAGTTTATGGATACCAAAATGTTCACTGGGAAAAGAAAATACAATTTCATAAAAGCTGTTGTCTCTGTAATCTCTAGCAAAGTATATGAGATCTATTTAAAATGTCAAGAGATCAATTCATTGTGAAAAGTTTCCTCCCAGCCAACGTGCAGTGAATTATTTAAAAGTTCTGACATCTGAAGCAGCTGGTACCATCTTCTTTCAGTCATTTACAAGTACTTTCATGGACGTAACCCCATTTTTGTTTGGGGTTGAAAATCTCATTTACAGCAAAACAAAGATCTTAGTGACACAAACAAACTGTAAAAGATACATTTGAGGACTTAAAAGATAGGGAGAAGGGAATGTAGCTTATTTGGAGTCCTAACTGTTGATTATGGGCTTCAAGGAAACTTTGTGGAAAGACTGAACTATGGCTATATGTGGTTCTTAGCTTTTGTACTTAAGTCCATAGTTATCACCTCTCCCTTTCTCCTGTAAAATTTCTTCCTTTAGATTATATCAGATGTTGTATCATTTTATTGCTAATTTGTTTCAATGAGCGTTTCTTGTCATTTTAGTTATATTAACTTATTCAGCGAATCCCCACTTACTCGCCTCCATTCAGAGGGCTATTTATAATGTCATAACCACTAAAAAGTTTGTTGATTAATTGACATCAATGATTGACACCCACATATTACACAATGATGACTGTTCTATTTGAGCTTAGCAAAATTGTTGTGGAATTCACTGCTAAATTAAACTACTGTATAGGGCGTTTTACAATTTATTTCTGAAGTGACTGATTATATATCAATAGTAAAGAGAATTGACATTTGTGAAAATGAAAAGAAAGTAAACACTACTGATGACTTCCATTCTTATTGTCATTAATGATATCTCAGTTTGGTTGTTTTGTGATGGACAGCTATCTTACCTAGTCTTGTTATTTATTGTTGGGCTAAACTTGACTGTGTTTACAGGTCTAGGTTCCAGTTCCATTGTCACTACTGTCATGTTGTTTCCTTGAGCAAATCAGCATAACTTACTCTGAACTCACTTTCACCGTCTATAAATTTTGTGGAGATTAGCATTTTTCAACTTTTAAGTTCAGAGGTACAAGTACAGGTTTGTTACATACCTGTGCATGCATGGGGGTTTGTTGTACAGATTATTTTATCACCCAGGTATTAAGACTACTACCCATTAGTTATTTTCCTGAATCTCTCCCTCCTCCCATCCTTCATCCTCCACCCTCCAAAAGGCCCTGGTGTGTGTTGTTCTTGTCTATGCGTCCATGTAGTCTCATCATTTAGCTCCCACTTATAAATGAGAACATACAGTATTTGGTTTTCTGTTCCTGCATTAGTTTGCTAATGATAATGGCCTCCAGCTCCATCCATGTTGCTGGAAATGACATCTCATTCTTTTTTTAATGGCTGCATAGTATTCCATAGTGTGTGTTTTACCACATTTTCTTTATCCTGTCTACCACTGATGGACATTTAGGTTGATTCCATGTCTTTGCTATTGTGAATAATGCTGCAATGAACATACACATGCATGTGTCTTTATAAAGGAATGATTTATATTCCTCTGGGTATATTCCCAGTAATGGGATTGCTGGATCAAATGGTATTTCTGTCTTTAGGTCTTTGAGGAATCTCCACACTGTTTTCCACAATGGTTGAATTAATTAGCAGTCCCACCAACTTTGTATACATGTTCCTTTTTTCTCCAAAACCTCACCAGCATCTGTTACTTTTTTTACTTTTGTTGTTGTTGTTGTTGTTTGAGACTGAGTCTCGCTCTGTCACCCAGGCTGTAGAGCAGTGGCATGTTGTCGGCTCACTGCAAGCTCCACCTCCCAGTTCAAGTGATTCTCCTGCCTCAGCCTCCTAAGTAGCTGGGATTTACAGGGGCACTCCAACATGCCTGGCTTATTTGTATTTTTAGTAGAGCTGGGGTTTCACCATGTTGGCCAGGCTGGTCTTGAACTCTTGAACTCCTGACCTCGTGAGCCACCCACCTCATGAGCCTCCACAAATGCTGGGATTACAGGCGAGAGCCACCATGCCTGGCCCTTGACTTTTTAATAACAGCCGTTCTGACTGGTGTTAAATGGTATCTCATTGTGGTTTTGATTTGCATTTATCTAATGATCAGTGATGTTGAGCTTTCTTTCATATGCTTGTTGGCTTCATGTATGTCTTCTTTTCAGAAATGCCTGTTTATGTCCTCTGCTCACTTTTTAATGGGGTTGTGTTTTTTTCTTGTAAATTTATGTTTCTCATACATGCTGCATATTATACCTTTGTTGGATGCATAGTTTGTACTTTTAGCTTTTACAAACAACTATATTATGTGAATAAAATAGGATAAGGCTTTTGAAAGAATTTTGAAATGTTAGCAGGAACCTCATTTTTTATATACCAAATGAATATAATCATTTTGTTTTTTTAAAACTGCCATTATATCCTTTAACAATCAGAATACTATAGCTCTGGTTTTTCAAATTAAATATAGACTGCTCATATTATACCTTATTAGTACTACCAACTGTTGTTTTAGGTAATATTTCCTATCCATTAATAGCATTCGAGAAGGAATATTTTCTTCTCCGTAGAGATTCTCATAATTGACTGTGCAATGTTCTTGTATGTTCACACATCCTTTATTCTGCTTGTGCTTACTGGTTCTTTTTGCCCCAACCTGTCTCCTACACAGCATAACTTGGAGCTGCTGCTAACATGAATCTGTGTTAGGAGGATGGGTTGTTTTTAAGAAAAAAGTAATGGGTTTGGATCCAAGGTGCTTTCCAAATAAAGTCCAAACTCTTAGTTTAGGGCTTTAAAACTTTTTCCTAACCTACTGTCCCAGTCTTAACCCTCATTCTGACCTCACTGGGGAATGTCATCATAGGGTTAGAAACTTGACATTTTTCTTGTTTCTAACCCTTTGGTTACATCATTCTGTACATACCTTTAAATAACATCTAGTCCATGAAGTCTCTATGGTCCGCCCACTGCAAATACTTTTTTCCTCTAGACTTCTGCAATTTTCGTGTCTACTTTTCGGATGGCATCTAGCCTATTCTGTTCTGTACTTTTATATCACTCTGTGTTTTGTTCATTTGTTGAGGGTTTTTAAAAACTCTTTTATTCTGTTTCTGTATCTGTTGACAAAACTGTGAGCTTTTTAGATGTGTTCTACTCCTTATATTCACAGAAGTGTCTAGGAGGTTTTTCTTGGGCAATAAGAAATAGTCTATAAAGAGCTGTTGAGTTAAATTGAATTGTTGGGCCACACTTTCAGATACAAGTATGAAACTGAACATTACATGAAACTGGACAAGTTTAACGAATAAATTTATTCCAGTGTTAGTGTTTTGAAGAAGAGTCTTTATGTGTGACTGGAAGAGAAGAATCAAGCTGTTTAACCAATAATGCTATCAAGTTTGGATAGCATGCTTGGCTAGAAATCAGCAAGCAGGTATCAAAGACATTGGGAGTCATGAAATGTTGTTTTACAAAGGTAAATACTTGATTAATGTTTTTTACATACAGGACACACATTTAAAGCACATGGTTTACCAAACATAAAAGGAGTGCACTAGAATTTGGGCAGGTTTTAAAAACAGAGAATGTAAATCCTGTATGCTTGAAATAAAACCTGTATTATGCAGTTTCCTCGGACCTTTGTTTAGGGAAAACAATAACATTTGAACAAATATTTTCAAGAAATGCTGTTTAGAAAGAAATCAATCTTGAACAAATATTTTCAGGTAGTACCACACTTAGCTTTGAGTTTTTTTGGTTTTTGTTTTTTTTAATTACATGAAGGGATCTTTTCTGGATTGTAACATTTCCTAGCATTTGGAATCTGATGAAGGCCACATCTATACAAAGAAATAGAGGTGTCACCATGAGCAGTCAGAGACAGGCTTCCTGAGCCTTTAAAATTTCTGTCCACGTATTTACATTTCCCTGGCCTATTTGATTCATGTGCTCTGTATTTTTTTTCTTAGATTATTAAAACGGGAAGAAAGTTTCACATTCATTCCACGGTCTCGTGAAGAGCTTCCAGACAACTTTCCAAAGGAAATTCCTGGGATCTGCTATTTCCTGGAGGTAAGGACTGGTCCAAAGCCACCAAAGCCTTCTCTTTCTTCGTCGAGAATAAAAAAGGTTTCCTACAACATCGGCACCATGTTCCTCCGGGAGACAAGCCTCTGAGACCTGCTACAGAACAAAGACGCCTCCAAAAAGCACAAGCCCAGAACATGGGTCACCACAGCGGGGGTGGAAAGAGATTGTGTCTCTTTCATTGCTTTGTTGAGAACAAGCAGCAAAATTTCTGTATTATGTCAGGCAATAATCCTACTAAAAGGTGGAGGTGACCGCTGTTAATACAAAGCCGGAGGATTAGGGAAATAAGATGTGTCCATTCATATGAGTGTTTTTGGTCATATATATATACATATATTTTAATTACAAGTGTGGGTCCCCTTTCAGAACTAACCAATAAATAGGTTCCATGTTTTCTTGTTTATCACACATACAAGTATCTTTCCCTATATATTTGTACCACTTTTGAGAGCCAGTTTTGATTATATATTCCTACATTTAGTGAGTTGGTGGGTGAGGAATATTTTCTAAGTTTCTTTTTCTGAACAGACATTTCATACATGTATCATGGCAGTGTGGTAAACTTCCCAACTGGAAGAATTGTAACTCGGCAAAATATTTTAGGGATATTACCTATTTTTATACATATCTCTTCTAGATAACTACATTTCACACAACATTATTAGATTTTCAGAATCTGCTTCTGTATTGTTAGTATATTATATAATACTAACCTATTAATCTAACATAGTTTCCCTTATTTAGAGAAATCAGTGCTTGGACTGAGAATACATATAACCAAGGATTTCAGATACCAAGAAAGCACTCTATGTCTGCTTAGTAAATATATCTTAGATTTAATTAATGTAGCATGGAATCCAGAGGAAATGGAATTTCCAAATACCAGATATATCTGTAACCAAGATTGAAGAAAGGTCTTTTTGCCACCTTCTAACAAATATCAGTTAAAATGAGATGCTTTGCTACACTGGACCCTTTTCAACTTAGCACTTATATAGGTAGCTTTTGCAACACTAAACTATATTCTAATAAACAGCATTCAACTAAATGACATGTTAGTTACCCCCTTCCTTTTCCCCAGTTGATGCCTCCTAAGAGCCGAATGCTATTCTTGGAGCAAATTCCTGGACACTGGCATTAGTGACAAAGAAGTGTCAGGACATTTTGCCAAGAATGTTGTTTCTTCTTGTACAACACAAAGCAAGGAAACCTCTGTATTTTATGGCTTTGAGGTTTTAAAAAAAAGTTCTGCAGTTTGATTGATACGGCTTTTAAATTCAGTGAATCACTTTCATGAATACTGAAGTAGCTATAATCTTCAGAACTAGTAATCATTATAGTTACAGATAGGATTCCATCGCATGTCCTGCTCAATTGAAGACCTGTTCTCATTAATCAATACTGCATGAAAATATTACTGGCTCACACTAAAATTAGGAGCATCATGTGTCCAGAGTTTTCCTGTTTGGGATCAAATATAAAATCTAAGTTTCTATTGAGGTTAATAAACTGGAAGCATTTGTTTCGTTGAAACCTTGGAGAGGTCATTTTCCTACTCATTGATAACTTATGTCTAACTGAATGCAATATTCTTTTCTGTTCAGGGATTTTGGCTGCATTATGGTTTGGTTATGACATAACTCAGTTAAAGAACATATTTACTAATTTCCAATGTAGTCTATGAGGCTTATTTAATGTTTTTAAATTTTCTATTTGTGTGGCTAGAAGGCATTTGTAGATATGCAAATATTTGTTATAATCATGATCCCTTTTATAATTTGAGTTATTTTCTTGCCCTGGGGGTTTATAAGGGCACAAGTACAACACTCTTTATATGGAGATGACAGGAAGTAGACCTGGAACTCTAAACCTTTGCCTGACCCCCTCTTCTGTGGGCCTGTGTCTCTGGACAATGAGGAGGTTTACAGTCAGTACGAGCAGAGCAGGCTGGGAGCCCCTCAGTCCTCATGCTTATATTAGAAAATGCCTTAGCAATGTTGATGGGCTCCTTGTAGCACTGGAGCATGGGGAGAGAACAAGCTCACTGATGTCGTTTATTATGTCTTCAGTAACTTAGAACTTATTATGGTATATTAAATCAATAAACATGTTGGTGATGAACAATGAGTTTTGTAACCGTAAGGCTGAAAGGGACTTCCAGGAATATCCAATCTATTTCTCTCACTTTTTGTAAAGATTTGTCTAAGCAACTACAAACACATATTTATTCTCTCCATACTTAAGAATATCTATGGGAAGCATATTTGAAAAGCATCATTGGAAATCCACCTCATTACTAGTGATAGGCCTGGAGAGAAGTATTGTATTTATATATCTCAATTTGTCAGAAGAATCACAAATTCTGTATTAGTTTATGTGATTTTACTTAGAGAAGACGTATCCATTTACATTGCCATAAATGTCACGATGAAGAACGTGCCAGAGATTTCTTATCTGTCACCGACAGGATGTCAACTACATTTTTCATACGTTATAATCTAAGTGTATATTCAAAGCTATAGTCTGAGATAATGGTCCAATCTGTTATCATTTTGCTAATCTATTATAGTTGATTATTGTAGTTACAATGTTTCTATATGTTTGTGAAGTACTATATAAAATGTCTGTTCATTCAAACTTCAATCACAGAAGTTAGAAGATGGAGAAAGAATTATATTTTTATTTGTCCTACACAATGCCATCTACATCTCTTAGGAACTGTGATTGTAACAATGTGGTAGCATTTGTTATTTCATATGACTTATCTATATTCTCACTTACTTACAAACTATTACCAACAGCATGCATTTTAGTATGGCAGATAAAAGAAATTTATGTGATATTTCCTTAGAAACCAAATGATATCAAATTGGGGAAATGGTTTTAACCCACTCTACAAGGGATACTTTAAAATATAATTTGGCACCTATAGCTCTTGCATTTTAATGTTCTTTAAAGCTGCTATTTGGAAGAAGGCAACTTATAACTGGCCATTAGCACCAAAGCATCAATCACATTGGTATCAGGATTATGTTGATGGAGAGAATGTCATCATTTGCAAATAAATCAGTTATCTAACAAAATCAGAATCCCCCAATATGTACTCAGAATGTACTACCCTGTATCTTCTTTGTGGACCTTAATAATTAGGTATCATTGACCATAATAAAAAATAATAATATGCCTCAGAAACATAGTAGTTGGATCTCTTGTCTATATAATATAGAGAAGGGGAAGAAGACATAGCTTCCAGGTAACTTGGGACCCAACTGCCTACAATCTACCTTTATTCATCTCTTGCTCTATATTTTAAGTAATCTTGGATTTTCCTTTTAATATCTGATTATGTGGAATCAAGTGAGCTTTGATCTGGGACTCTGAGACAGACATTGATGCCTGAGATTTGAGGGTGGGTCCATAGGTTCAGCACTTCAAATGTTATTTCTCACAGTCTTGCACTCCTTCCTCTTGTCCAGTGACAATGGTGTCAGGACACAGTAGTTTAGTGTGAATGTGCATGTCTCTCCAGGAAAAGCAAAGCAAAAGAGAATAACAACTTAAACAAAATCTCATTCACAAAGGGAGCAAGACTTTTAACTTTGCAAATGCCTCTAAAGAGTTCTAGCAATATAAAGCCAAATTAAATTGATAGATAACAAAAGGCAAAGCCGTGGAGAATTCTGAAAACCCCACCAGGCATTGTGTTTTGTACAGAATCATATTGCTGCTGAACAAAACGGTGTGTGTATCTAAAGTCGTAAGGCATCAAGTAGGAGCTCAAAATTATGACCATCATTAAATATATTTGTGGAAGCCTTCTTGGGTTCCAGACGTTCTGAGGGCAAGTGTTGTGGATGGTTAAGGCAAAAAGTAAAACTTTTACACACAGGTTTCTGTCTTGTCATTTTGAGAATGACTCAGCCCATTCTAGACCCTTTCTTACTCCATTCTGTCCCTAGAAACTATCTCACCCCTCAAGCCTGGCCACAGCAAACAGCATTCTCTCTTCACTTCTGAACCCAGAATGGCTACAGAAAGGGTTGCTGGTGCCTCATTCAGGCAGATAGGAAGGACCACACACAGTCAGGCCTGAGTAACAATGTACTTCTGAAGTGTAGTAATGAACTGGATGTGCCGGGGCATTAATTATGTCTGCAGTTTCTCCCTCTGCTCTTTCTTCAAAACCCAGTCTGACTCCAAGCACTTCATGCAACTTCACTGAATCTTCCTTTGAAATTAATTATAAATGACTCTGAATAGGCTTTGGGTAGTATCAGATGCCTTTCAGCCGACAATATCTAGAAACTCAAGTCCAAGAACCAAGCCCTATAACGTAGCTTAGTTGTTTCTACTGTTAGATTATAGACCTTCAACTACAAAAATTATGTCATTTCAGAGGCTTCTATAAGCATAGCTTAATAGATCTAGCCCAAAAATCATGATGCATAAGAGACTGAATTATTAAGATTTAACATATTTCTAAACAATTTATGGGCAGCTCTTGATATGAATATTCCTAAACCACAACCAGCTGGTTTAACATACACATAAATTGTGTTCACGTGATTGAACAAAATGTATCGTTAAATGGGTAAGTTGACCCCAGCTATGGACTCGATTTCAAGATCCTCGTGGTGGTGAATGAAGAGCAGACACTGATATTATGTACAGATTAACATAATCTTGTCAGGCTATATTGAGATAGTGTGCAAAATTCCTTCCTCACACTTGATCCAAACAATTGAAACCTACATATTACTGTTCTTCCATCCTTTGTTTTCTTCCTTCCTTTACTCCTTCTTTCATTAAAAAAAGTCATTGATACATTTATAACACAGGAAGTATCACAGCTAATCCTCATATTCTAAAATAGTTTTATAAAGTGATTACTATTTTTAGTTTGTGTATATGTATATGTGTGTTTATTGAATGTAGATGTTTCATGATTGAAAGAAATAAGTTTCTTTGGAAGGACTTGGGAATGCAGAGAAGTAAAGTTTGTGTCTTTATTTCTAATATGTTATAACCAGATCATGGTTTCAGTTAAGCACTTCATTGCCATTCAATCCTTATTAAGAAATGACCAGCTGGGCGCGGTGGCTCACGCCTGTAATCCCAGCACTTTGAGAGGCTGAGGTGGGCGGATCACGAGGTGAGGAGATCGAGACCATCCTGGCTAACACGGTGAAACCCTGTCTCTGTTAAAAAATACAAAAAATTAGTCAGGCGTGGTGGCGGGCGCCTGTAGTCCCAGCTACTCGGGAAGCTAAGACAGGAGAATGGCATGAACCCAGGAGGCAGAGGTTACAGTGAGCTGAGATTGCGCCACTGCACTCCAGCCTGGGCAACAGAGAGAGACTCCGTCTCAAAAAAAAAAAAAAAAAAAAAAAAACGAATGACCTAGTTCAGTGGTTTAACTGATCTGCTTGGAAGTATCTGGCTGGCTTCATAAGAATTCCGTAGGGAGTTTTAGGAATACAGAAAACTAGTCTTTACCTTCAGAGATTTGAATTCAGTAGGTCTCGGGGAGGGCCTAGGAATCTGTGTTTAGAAAATCAGTAATGCTAATATACAGCCAGACTTGGGAATCATTGAAAAGTATTCAGATAATCTCAATTACTAGGAGTAAATACAAGCTGACGGGGATAGTAATGTTATTTCATTTGTAGTTATTTTGAAAAGTTAAATACTCTAGGCCTCATACCATTATTTCTTTCACAAATTTTAGTTTTGGATTTGATTTCCAAATTGTGGTCTTCTTTCTGAGCATAAATCTTCAAACTTAGAGACAGATGTCAACACTGATAAGCATGAGGGATGAATATTGCTCACTATAGGGCTATTAGGCATACTAGATACAGTACTATTTTCTTAGTTACTGCCAGAGCTGTGCGGTATATTGCAACATTTGCTAATCCTCACCACCGAGGTAAAAACTATGACCTTTGGGACACAGAAGCAAATATCAAAGTGACAGCCTTACTTCTGAATGCTTTGATTTTTATGTTATGAAAAGACACCAACTTAATACTTAGTCTCACTATGTACTTTTCATATTGAATTGTATATTATCTGAAAAGGGATTTCCAAGCAATACCTTATAACAACCTTTCAAGCAATAATTTAAGCCATGGTGATGATGCCATATGAAGCTTGCACTTCTTTGCATTTCATAGAGCCTTTGTGAAAACAGAAACATGTTTTATACAAGCAATAATACAGCTGGTGTGGACTTTTTAAAGATATTCATTATTCTGTAGCAAAATGAGCAGCAAGTAATGACTCAGATTAAAAATATCTGAGCAAATGATATGCTTAATCTATCTCAGAAGTTATTCATTTGCAAACATGCTGTAAAGTGATTAATATACATCAGATTATTTCTGGTGCATAATTTTTAAAATGGCTATCAAAATATGATTTCTATTCCTGTCAAAGAGATTTGTGTATTATTTATAATGTTGCCCAATTTTTGGATCTTTGTAGTATATAATAGTAAAGAAGAAGTTAAGGATGGATAAATGAGTGGAAGTAGGGCATAGGTTGGAAGGTTGGAAGAGGTGATTGAGAAAGTAGGCTTTGCAGAAATATAGATTGGTCTCGGGGCAGATTAACTCAAATGTTGGTTTGATGCGGTCTTGGAAGATGAAAGAATAAAGATAAAAGAGCTCATTATTACTGTTTTCAATGATAGCTACACAAGTGTTTGGTAAGTATGATAGTATTTTGACTTCAGAATATGATTGACTGAAAGTCACCTGTACTACAATAAATAAATGTCTGAAAATGATTATTCAATAATATTGAAAAAACACTAAAGCTTTCAGGTTTTGAAATGAAAAAAATCATGTTTTTAGTCTTCTTAAAATACAATTTTAATAGAATGTGGCATACTCAATGATAATCAGTTCTTTAGTAGTTACATTTACTTTTCCATCATTTAGAATAATATATAAGGATCACAGCTAAAATCAACTGGTAAATTTATGTTTACACTGAGCAATATCTAAACATCAGATTATTATTTAGCATATAAGCTTAGGATTCATTCCTAAGCATCTAAATAAGATGACAGCTCCTATAATTGCCTAGTGAGGTAAACAATCCTCTAAACGTGAATATGAACACATTTGAATGGTGGGTGTGTTTGGTAGTATTTTGTCTTTAACTTTCTATTACTCATAGCAAAACTTAATTTAGCATCCGCCTGCCCACAGTTTGGAAAATTTCCCTGTCAAAATCAAGCAGGATTGTTGATTCACTGAGGCTTTGACAATTATCCTCTTGTATATCACTGGATCCTTAAATCCTTAGTAAGAATGGTTTTGGGTTAAATAAATAATGGAATAGATTTAATTTGAATCTATTAAATTACACTGAATTTATCCTTCCAGTTCATCTAGTTGCTGATCAGATTATTCTTTATATTAGACTTAAGTACTGTTGCTTATTATTTAAAAGCAGAAAAGAAAAACCAAATGGCAGGTCTGAGTATTAGTTTCTTTTTGATTCTTTCGATACGTATTTTTAAAATGAAGAAATCACTTTATATTCAGTCTTCCTTTGTGGACTTTCTGCCATTTGCAGATAAAGAAGGAATTCTGCTTAATATATTTTTACTGTGGTCTATTAAATGTCATTAAACCTATCTCTAACAGGAAAGTAATAACTGGAATAAAATCAGGAATGTGCAAAATTGTTTCTTCACACCACCTCACTTTCTGAAGACAATTCTTTGCATTTTGCTGCCTGACATTTACACATCAGACTCAGGACAAAGGGACAAATGGAGTGAGTCAGGTGGGCAGGAGCTTTAGATGAGATGAAGCAAAGAGTTAATTTTTTCTTCAGGAAGATGTAGAGACTCTTAAAGGAGAGGCAATTTCTGTAACAAACACTTCTGGTTTAATGAAAGCCAAATTATTTATTTGACTACTGGTCACTCATTTTTAAAAAGAAAAGAGAAAGACAAAGAGAAACCCTTCATAAGCCATTTTTAGCTTTCCTCGAAGGTAGTGCCAACCTCTAGGCAGCTGCACATCTCAGTGAAGCTGGGATAGAAGCTTACAGAGCTACAAATAGATACTTTCTGAAGGTGGCAGATAGAACTAGTGTTGGCTACAATGATGAAGGTAAATGAAAGTGTCAGAACATCTGGGTTGAAGGAACAAAGAAGGCCAAATACCAGCTCTGCCATATGCCACAGAAAACCCTACTAAAATTAGCACAGAAAAACAGACTAACAGTATGCAAGTGATATTAAAACACACTATATTTTTTCCTTTTATAACATGCCTGGCTGAGCTAGCATTCAGTGAGAAGAATACACTTTTGTCTCATGCATCATTTGAAAAAAAATTGTTGTTCTGACATTAATTATATATTCCTTTATAGTTGGAAAATTTAATCACAAATAGGAAATATTTGTGTTCTGAAATTTGTAAACTTCTTTTGGGAGCTGTACTCTATGTCATATTCTTCTTCACACTTTTCTCAAATTGGGTTTGGCTGCTAGCAAGACAAGTGTGGAACTTTAGAGCAGAAAGATGTCCATCCATCCCTTAGAGAATGTGCCAGAGTATTTGAGCTGGAGAGAGAATCACTCCGTAGCACTTAATGGTTTTCTGTGAGACATGAAGACTCTAGTTTTCTAAACTTAAAAGTGGTTGGGTAGTACCTTAATCATCAAAGATTTTTCACTTACATGTAACTGCTTAATTCATGCAGAGTTTGTTTAGAACAGAAACTTTAAAATGAGGGAACGAACCTGAGCAATTTTCAATCAAAATTATCAGTTAGAAAAAGAATTTAAGACAAAGATTTATTGTCCTGAGTCAACTTACTCATATCCAAAACTTAGAA